CCCACACCCTTCCCCCCTTTACCCCAGATCCAAGTACTTTACAAGTTATGTTGTAATGCTGCAATTATCCACCAATCTCCAGATAATCAAGCATATAGCATTCACTGTTCATTTCTACAAGTCAGAGGGAAATGTTCTCTGAGGTAACCGATTTGCTCTTCTCTCTCTCTTGTTTCCTACCATTAAGTGCTGCAAATGGTCAATGCATCTTGAGTTCAGACAAGCGCTTGATTACACATTCTTTTTGAGACTTATGTATAGGACTGCTGTTTCCTGTGGACCTAATGAAGGCAGAGTATAGATACAGAAACAAATATTGACCTGTCCTTTTTTTAATGATCTGCTTTAATGCGTCTGCCTTTCTTTTCCCCTTCTCTCTGCCTTAGACGTGGACGAATGCAGTAAAGACAATGTGTGCATTCGGGGCCAGTGTCTCAACACTGATGGCTCTTTCCTGTGTTTGTGTGAGGCTGGTTTCAAGTTAAACGCTGACACAACTGACTGTGAAGGTAAAACAGAATAAAACTGCGTTGTGAGGTCTTGTGCATGTCGTAGTGATTGTTAACGTCAAACGCTGCTCCAAAATATCTACTCTCCTAGTCTAAGCGGTAGAAAATGAATGAATCAATGGTGTAGCCAGGCATGTGACTGATTTTCTGTAGCTGTTAGGAATGGGCTTCAGTAAGAGAGTCCAAGCCTGGCTTAGAGGTTTTCCTCAGATCTGAGGGGTTCTTAGGACCAAGTGGTGCCTGGATTACATGGCTGGAGCCCTGAACTCTCTCTCCCCCAAGAGAAGTATGAATGACCCCATTGTGAACAGGAGGTGTTTCTCCCTCTGGAACACTTCCCTTTAGCTCCTTCACAAGTTCTGTGGTTGCTGTGATAATATTGTTCTTGGCCAGTCCTGTTGCCCGCTGAGTTTTCTGAGGACAGCCTCCTGGCCGACTCCTGCTTTACAGCCATTACACTGGAAGCAAAGGAGCAGTGGAGGGAATATGAGTGTGTGACCAGGGGGTGCATGCATCTGTTTTAGTGTCTGATTGCACATGTGGTTGCATTTGTGCCTCTGTTCATCAGTTACTAACCAACATCTGTCTCTCCCTCTTTTCACAGACCAGAATGAGTGCAAGGAGTTTGGAAGCTCAGTGTGTGGTACCTGGCTCTGTGAGAATACCATCGGCTCCTACCGGTGTTTCATGGGCTGCCAGCCTGGCCTGGGGGAAGAAGATGCCACAGGCTGTGGTGAGTGGTCTGACCTCACAATTATTTTCAGAAAAAACAAGCTGAATTTAAGCCCGTCTTCAGGTTGAAACAAAAAGCCTACCTATTTTTGTCACATACATGCACCCTAGGTCATTTCATTTTCATTTGAGCTTTAAGTTAAAGATAATGTAAGTCACCACTCTACATACTCCTCATGGCTCTCCCTCTGTGCATAGATAAGTATGTCTGTTTGGCACACAGACACAAAGAGGCTGATGTGAATCAAAAGCTCTCAGGTAGTCAAGGTCACAAGAGGTCGTATGGAGATGAGAAGTCCTGAAAACACAGTCCCTGAAACTGGGGCACTCTGGAAAGAGTACACTGTCATTGGAGGCAGAGTGTAAGGCCAGCATCTCATAACAGTTTCATTCTCTGAACAACAGAGCTAATGGAGTGTCTCAGGCAGAGACACAAGGTGGAACCTGATCACCACTGTTTTTTGTCTGAGAGGCCATAGGATTGTCAGGCCAGCTTAGATGGTCCCTTCCCTCATTGCACCCCCTTTGTAGGAGTCCAATCACCTGGGTTGGCTGGGAGAATTAGTTTTTTGCTACATCTGGTCTCTCAGCCATCCAGTAACAACAGACACATCTCCATGACCTCCCAAATACATGGGGCCTTATGTGTTTACTGGCAGGATTAGACACCTTGGGCTTGAGATGTTAATGTGGTTCATTGCACAGCGATTTATCACTCTTTATTTTGTAGCACAGTATTGATTGTTTTTGTTGCTCTCATAGCTCTACAAAACAAGTTGATTATATTGTATGAAGCCTATGAGAGACAAAACAAAGGGCTAAACATTCTCCTCATATGAAGCCAGGATCTAAACAGTCACCAGAGAGTGACAGGCAAAGAGGGGGAAGGAGTCTGAGAGCATCAGATTGGAATGATATGTTGAACTGCATGTGGGAGCTGAGTGTTTTTGTGGGTGACTGTGTATGTGAGTGTGATTGTGTCTGTGCATGTGGTTAACTGTGGGTTTTTGCATCCTCACTTGTGTGTCTGTGTTAGAGAAAGCAAACCAGAGACTGTAACAGTTGTAGAGATACACTTGGATTACATTGAGGCTTCACATATTCTCATAACCCCAAGTTTTTATTGGACTATCAGTAGATGGGGATCAGGGGAGATGATGCTGCTGTGGCACTAATGAATGACAGATTGGACCTCTGCCCCCTCCATCACCCTAATTCCGGCTACATGTGGTTGCCTCCTTATTGCACTTTATGGTGTTGTTTGTCTGGCACCAGCTGGAGAACACAGGAGCCTGTAGTGTGATGAAGACAGATTGAAACCAGCTGCACACATCCGCTCCTTTAGTGTCAGAGTCAGAACACTGCTGAGGAGCTTATATAGGTTCAGATCAGAGTGTGATTTAAATATACATTCCTGGTGTTAAGGGCCAAGGACTTCTCAGCCCTGTTAAATGCTATAAGTTACACTTTTTTGCCTGACATATCCTGTAGAGCAGAATGGGACATTGAGGCGGGGCCTGATTGAAAAAGTTTCACATGGTCCCCTATGGTGCCACAAAACTCTTATTTTACATTTCCCAGTTACCATGTCTGACCATCTTTCTCCTGTTGCTGGTGTGTTGTTGTTAGGCTCCACAATAAACACTTGTACAGCTCGGCACTGACTCACAGCCTCAGCTTGAGAACCAACCTCTCTTATCTCCAGAAGCCGAACACCACACACAAGAGTGGCTCATTTCACCTCACAATGGGGAGTTGTGGGACATGCTGCTGTCACCCCCAATAAAAGTGCAGGGAGGAAAACCAATTACTCTGCGGCATTTTTGTCTGCTTGTAAAAAAGTCATCAAATATTTAAGATCAAGCCAGACACTGTAATTTGCAATTTCTGTGAGGGGCGTTGTTTTATTTTTACTCACTGACTTTCAAAGGGGCAGTGGCTGTCTTTGGCTCTGCTTGCAACACTCGTTTAGATTTAGAGGCCATGATACAAAGAGGAAAAACAGGGGTTTTTTTGCACCACCATGTCAGTCACAACTGTGCTGACTCAGCCCTGCCATGTTTCTCTACACAGGGCATACTGTGCATGTGCATGTGTAGACGTGTGCATTTCCAAGTCATTGTTTTCAGCTTTATTTCACCATTATACTCATAAAGTCCTTGAAGCTATGCCTTCTCTTATAAGACTTGCCCAAGGGTGGAAATGCTGCCACACTCTCACCAGCCTCTCGCCTTAGTAAATCTATAGAAATCTAAAGACTTTACCATGTGTATCGTACTGCTCATGCTGTTGTACAGATGTAAAATTATATGCTTTTTTCTCTGCAGAGCAAATATAATATGACAGTTAAACCTACACTGTAGTTAACCCAAGACAGCTTATGGATGTAATGTCAGATAAAGAGAACAAACATGCTTCCCAGAAAACAAATACCTCACCTCATCCTTGCCCAGTTGCATATGAAATAATCTCTGCATATGGGCCCAATCAGAGAAGGGGTTGCCCAGAGACTATGGAAGAAGTGTTGGCTGCTGAAGGTGAGCCAGTGGATTCTTACTGTATGCTGTTCTTGCCTGCCACCATATGCTCTACATTAAAACATGGCACAGAAACCCACATTCACTCCCTAGTCACTGCATCCGCACATCCAGGAAGCAGGTCCTCCTTGGGTATATCATTAGCATAGGTGCCTGTCAGGACTGGGTCACCACTTAAACTTGGATCCTCCCAGCTCAGCTAAACTCCTTACCCTCTACCCTGGCTCTCCTCTTTCTTCCGGATAATTTACAGCAGTGCATGCATCCTGATGGAACTGATTATTACATGGAAAGACTAAGAAAAGCAGCATCCTGTTAGTGTGAGACTAGCTCTTGGTGGAGTTATCTCATTGTATGTTATTCATTTTTCCCTTTAAACCATTATTGCTGTGATTAGCAAGCTGACTCCCAGCTTGGATCTAAATGGGTCAAGTAATGCTGCCACTACAGATACACAGAAAAATAAAAGCCATCAAAATAGTTTTAGTTTTGATACTCTCATTCCATCCTGGGATGATACTTTGATTGCATCTCATCACAACATGTGGTTTGCAACATATTTTGTTCCATGTTACACATGACTGAAAAGCTGCTTGCAGGTCCTGATTATTTCATAAGTTAGTGGAGAGCTTTCAATGTCTTCACCCCAGGCCTCCCAGCTGGCAGCTCTTGTGATTCCAACATTCTTAACTCCACTTAAGCGCTTCACACTTGAGGAAACAGTCCTCAAATTGTGATACTCGATATTCTTCACCTTATTTTGAGCTTGATTGAGCTATAGGAATGTCCTTCTTTTCAATTATGTGCAATTATATTATAGTGTCCAAAAAACCTGCACCAATTCTACAAAAGTTTAGCATCTCAATCCTCAACTGCAAAATGCAAATCCAATGGGTTGGCAGTTTTCCGTATGTGCCCATCCAGCCATTTGAGCCCACAAGTCTATTCTAGCAATGTCGGTCATTTTTTGTGTTTTTACAAATGGCAAAGACAATTTTGTCTCTACAGTTTTATTAACCCCTGTCTCTGACCCCAGAGGCATGTCAGAGAAGTGGCCAAGTCCAGATAGGTATGCTGACAGGACTAGTCCCATAGCAAGCCTGAGAAAGCGTTTGTCTGTGTTGGAGGAGGAATACAGGCAGTCTGTTCAGATCAAATGGGTTGTGTTTCTCTGGTCCTTTTGTCAGGGGATACAGTCTTTATAAGTGCTCAGAGGCAAAATAAAACTGGCTTAGACAACATGTGAATCACAGCCAATAAATCAGTTTGTACTGGACTTTAAGCTTTTGCCTTAAAAGAGCAGATATATCTGAGATTAGCTTGACAAGTATGAAGCTGTTAAGTGAAACTGATCAAACCAGAGTGTAAATATTGAAGTTGTTGCTATTTTATTGTCTGAATTAATTCCATATTTATAAATTGCTGTCCTGTTTTTCTAAAACTTGTATTTCACTCCAGCAGAGTTGCTATTAGTCATGGAAACTCTGAATAGAATGGAAATGGAAGGATGTTATGAAACTAAAAAGTCAACAAAATATCAAATCATGCTTATGATAAAACAGGCATAGTGATGTGTCCTCTAATTTCATCAGTGCTGTTCATATCAAATGACAGGCCTGCCTGTCATAATGTTCCCAACTTAATGACTTGCAGAAAAAAACAGAGGTACCAAATTACAGTACATCTCTGGCTGAATAGTTTTTACTGTGTTTGTTGAACAAGATACTAGACCAGAAAAGGATGAAACAGATGAACATGGCATTTTGTATGGCTGTTTTGCTCTTCAGAACAAATAAACATTCATTATAATATAGAGTTAAGTAGAACTGATAAATGGTGGTACAGTATACCAGTGGCAAGTCAAAATGATTTGAGAACAAATTCATGTGACTAATGTGTGTCATTAAACTCTCTGGTTGTTTTTTAAATAATTACAATCAGACTTGCCCTCAGGCAGTATCTGTCTTTGGCCTTTATGCTGTACTTGATATGCCAAGAAATACTAAATCATGTATAGAAAAAATTGCTAACAAATGTGGCCTTTAAAAAGCGAGTGGCAGAGAATTAGCACTGCATTTCCATGGTCCAGTGTTAACAGCTTCAAGCATCCATGTCTGTCTCTCCTCTGCATACATTGATGTCTGTCAGCATTCCTCCACAGGTGCCTATGCCTCCGCGCAGACAATAGCCACAGCCAGGTTGTTTTCAAGTTGTCCGTCCATCCGTCCGTATGATTCTTGTGAACGCGTTATGGCACATACCCCTAGAGGGAATTTCTTCAAATTTGGCACAAATGTCCACTTCCACTCAATGATGAATTGATTAGATTTTGGTGGTCAAAGGTCTAGGTTAGTGACCTCACTTCTGTCCCATACCTGTGAATCTGACTGGTTGGAAGAGGCATACAACTGCAAAGCGGTTATTCTAGCTGAACCTTCCTCCAACTGCATTTAAAAGCCTGAATGCAGAATGCTGTAATCTCTTATACACTGTATGTTGCCAACATCTCACTGTCACTTCTCACTCCATTAATTCAACCAAAGAATAATGAACTCAAGTTCACTGTACGGATGCATCGAAGGTCTCTCTGAATTAATTGACAAAGACCAGAGTTTAATGAATTCTCCAATCCATACACTGTGTCTGACATGTTATGATGGCAGTGATTTCTGTTGTTTACAATGTTTACAGAGGCGATTTGATAGTCTGTTGTGCAGCGTGACACTGTAAATAGACAGTAAATGTGCTCACCTCCCTGTGTGCTCTGGCCTTGCAGATATTGACGAGTGCATCAATGAAACCATCTGTGGGAATCATGGCTTCTGTGAGAACACAGATGGCTCCTTCCGTTGCCAGTGTGATCAAGGCTACACCAACCCACCTGGTGATACAGGCAGATGTGTTGGTGTGTACCTGCTCTCTCATAAACATTCATGAGCAAGAAGCTGAATATTCAGTCTGGTGGTATCTTCTTGCTTCTTATTGTCATCAAATCCCATTAAAATACCCAAACCAGCAATGAGCCAAAGCCTGATGCAGCCTTTTCCGCTGTACTATAACGTAAGTCACATCACCGTACTGGGTGACGTGCTGCTTCATTACGATGGGCACTGTAGTGATTTTGAGTCAGTCCCAAACACCACCCTACTGCTGTAAACTCTTCCGAGAGCATAAAATGTGTATTAATCTACAGCTGTAGTATGTAAAAAGAAGCCCCGTTTGTTCCTGTTTCAGTAATATTTGTGAAAAAATACAGTGCCCAGCTGTTAATTCAATTATTTGGCCTTCTCTGAAAGAGAAATAATATATTTTTGACTCATTTTTTAAAGATGTACAGCAAAAGCCAGTGGGCTGTGGCATGAGAGCCACAAGTAAGGTAGGGAAATTGAAAAAGAGTAGGAGACAGACTAATGGATTGTAGGTTTTGGTCTTTTCATGGGTTTCACTGAACATATAAAAAATCTAAAATATCACCAGACTTATCTTTTTATCATTGTGTGTGACTGTAAATGTTTTTATTCACTTTTGTTTAGCAAACCTGCACAATTTTCAGGATTTTCATGTATAGTGTTTTTCATGTATTTGCACTTTCAGTAGTGATAATGATGATTATGTTGTATCCGTGTCCTTGCTTGACTTTCCTCGACCTTGCTGAGCACATTCCTGTGCGTGCATGCTTGATCCTTTACTGACCTCAAGGCTATTTCTCCTGTCTTTCTCAGACGTGAATGAGTGCGAGATGAGCTTGGCGGTCTGTGGGGAGGCCCTGTGTGAGAATGTCGATGGCAGCTTCCTGTGCATCTGCCCCAATGACAATGAGGAATTTGATCCCATCACCAGCCAGTGCCACTCCCTGGGTAACAGAACAGGACTAGCGCTCACAGTGACTCACTGAATTTCATTCTTCATCCCATCATTCGGAGACCGGGTTTTCCCCTGATTTAATGAGCTGTCTCTCATTTTCCAAACATCTAGGGTAATGAGGTGGACATAATGCCTCTTAGAGTCTCCTTTGACCTGGCTGTTTCCATTTGTTTTATACTGTAGACTAGAGTTATGGTTGGGTTGCCTGCAAAAATTTGTATTAGCCTAATTCCTCCAATGAATGATGAAGTGTTCCAGTAGAGCCAAGCAAACACCCTCAGGCCCTAGTCATTGCGAACCCATTTCCCCACCAAGACAAACATTGATAAGGTGTAGCTATTGGCAATTAGTGCTAAAAATACATTGTTCTGTTTTGTGCTAATGATCTTAAGTGAAAAGGTTATAGATATGCAATGTATTGCAATTTTGGAATGAGAGAACAAGCCTGTGTAATCACGGAAATACCAGCACATCTCCAGCTTGACTGGCGTATGTGCACACAAATTGGGCATATTTACATTATTAAGCAGCACGTCCTCGGCAGGGATGTTTTTTTCTTCTGCCCGGACGCTAAACCCCAGCTATGCCTTTGTGTACCTTTTTGCCACATTTCACTGTTTGTTTTTGATGTGTGTTAATCAATCATGTGAGAGTGAATCACATGCCGGTGTTTCCATTTGGCTAAGCCGGCAGCTTAAGTGTGAAATGCCCGTGCCTGTGTCTTTGGACAAATGAGGAGGCTCAGCAGTGGCAGGCGAGGGTAATAAACTACCTGCTGCTGGAGTGCGCTTGATGCTGAACTGTTGGATCTACTGTAACTTTATGTACTGGATTATCCTTCCTCAACAGGGAGATTTGATTTCAAGCAGTTATCTCAGTGAACATTTGCCCTCTTGAACTACAAAATACCTGCCACCTCTGCAGGTGCGGTTCTATAGCTGTCCATGACCTCTTACTGTTCCGGCCTTTCCTTGTTCCTTAGCCACTGTTGGTGACCAGAAGCCTTCTGCTCGCGTCCGTCCATCTACTCCCTCAGCTCAGGAGAGAAAAGAGTGTTACTATAACTTGAATGATGTCAACTTCTGCGACAATGTCTTGTCTCGCAACACCACTAAACAGGAGTGCTGCTGCACTGTGGGGGCAGGCTGGGGGGACAACTGTGAGATCCATGTCTGTCCTGTCCAAGGAAGAGGTACATAACAAGGCTGATGATCTGTACTGCCAGTTAATGACCCTTTTCTTTTACTCCCTTTGCATTTCACTGATGAAGCCATTTCTTATTTTTCAGATGAATATAACCAATTGTGCCCCCATGGCAGTGGATTATTATCACTGCCGGGTTTCTCTACACAAAGTCTGGGAGAACGGGCTTACATAGGTACTCTCTCTTTCATGAATACTAACTTTTATATATCTAAGCCTTAACAGCTTACCTTCATACTAAACTACAGTGGCACAGAAAGGTGCAATGTTTTATTTCCACCCGCAACACCCTTTAAAGCCGGATAAACATACAGTAGGCTTAATAGGATACCTACTGTACAAACCAGACTGATGACTGTAATCTTAGTGTGTCCTGTGAATCTCTCCATCTCCTCAGATGCAAATGAGTGTGAGATGTTTGGATCAGACATTTGCAAAAATGGAAAGTGTTCAAATCTCTTTTCTGCCTATACCTGCTACTGTCGCTCAGGCTTCTACTACGACAACATCCGACTTGAATGTATGGGTAAGGAAGGACATCTATTTATGCTTTTAACATTTGAAAACATTAACGTAAAAACAACAAATAAACGGGAATATTGTCTAAGTATGTCATTAAATTTGATTGTATTGAAAGTGATCAGTGTTTTGGTTACTCTTTTCGAGACCCCATGTCCCATAAACTGTGTTACTGTAGGCCTACATTCAGATTATAAAGATTATAAAGGGTGTTTAAGCAAACATGTATTTTAAAGGCATGCAGAGGCTTTTCATCTTTTAAACTCATTTATAGTTAGCATAATTAATTACTACTGATGATTAAAATACTGCATGTTGAAGCTTTAATACTTAAATAACTCTTCTGAATCTTTTCATACTGTAATGTCTGTGTGTCCCTCTCTGTAAATGTGTTTTTAGATTATGATGAGTGTGAACGTGAAAATGTCTGTGAGGATGGAGCATGTGTGAACACAGCCGGGTCCTTCAGCTGTTTCTGTAGTCCTCCGCTGGTCTGGGACAGCACACAGCAGCGCTGTGTTAGCCTCAACACCACAGAAGGTATGACACAAGTTTTGAATTTTGAGTTTTGAACATTTAAATTAATAGTGTTTATTAATCAAGTAGTGTTTATCAAAGAGCAGACCTGCAGAAAATAAAGATTAATTAGGCTGAAATGATCAGTTAGCTGAAGAACACAAAATTAATAGGCAACAATTCTGATCATCAAGTAAACCAAACTTAAATGACAAATATTGTGTGGTTCTAGCTTCTCAAATGGGAATCATTGTTGCTTTTCTCTGACAACTTATTACTGAAAATTCCTTGGCTGTTTTTGTTTGGGCAAACAAAATAATCCAACTATGTCAATTTGTTATAGACAACAAACAATTGATTAATGGAGAAAATAATTGGCAGATTAATCAATAATGAAAGTAATCTTTAGTTATTTGAGAGGTCATTTTTTGGGGGAGGCTAAGAATTTTAGAGGTGATATGTCTGCTATTTCTAATATTTATAATAATAACAGTCAGCATAGTGAAGAGGGAGGAGGAACTACAGGATGGATGGAGCTACAGTATACTTACATCCAGAGCTTTGCTGGCGTTGTTTGTTGGTCAAAGCTCAGTTTATTGTCCACAATGAATCCAAAATATTTGAAGCTGTCCACCTATTAAACTGTTGTCATGAAAGGAGATGGGATTCTGTCCAGTCCTTAGAGATGTGTGGCATGATTTTAAATGCAGTGGACTATTGTAATGGAATGGTTGAGATTACGACATTTGGGAAATTTTAAATAGTTGTATCTTTAATTTATGATTTTCCTCTTTGCTCTTCCCTTATTTGGTTCCAGAAACTCTAGAGTTTGATCAAGATGTGCACATGGATATTTGCTGGCGGCATCTGGAGGCAGACAACATGTGTTCAGATCCCCTCCAAGGCCACAGAACTACATACACTGAGTGTTGCTGCCTGTTTGGCTTGGCCTGGAGTGGACAGTGTGCCTTCTGCCCCAGGAGAGACTCTGGTGAGAAACAGAATGTACATAAGACAGTGATCACTCTGTTTTCATAATCCACATCTTTATATTAACACTGCCCTGTGTGCTGTTGTATTCAGATCACTATGCAATAATGTGCAACCTTCCTCGGAGAGAAGGTACTGACAGTTTGCGAGAGCGGGAAGGATATGAGTATGGCGTGGATGTGCCAGAGGAACCTGTGGAGTCTTTTCTTCCTCCATACTGGGACAGTTACGGTAGCCCTGCAGGACCCTATTGCATTCCTGAAAGTGTTCCTCTCTTCACTGACAATGACTACAGTGTTGATCAGTCACCTGCCCGTGTCCCAATCCCACAACCACAGGAGCACCAGCCACGACCAGTGGATTCCTATGCTGGTGGGCATATACATCCTTCATTATATGCAAGGACAGACAGTAAGGGCTTTCATCCTTGTGTGTTGAACATGTCTGTGCAATATACAGTGCAGTAATGCAGAGGTAAAGAAAATGAACTTCAGCTATTGACAATCATAATGAAAAAAATCAGCAATATTTGTTACAGCACCCAAAGGGCTCTAATAGTTAACCACTTTTAGTGATAAACCTGCAAGGAATTATGACCCAAACCTGCAGCTCCCCTCAGGTATATGGAGCTTAGTGAGTTCAGGCTTTAGTTGTCTGGCCTGCAACTATACTGTTTCGATTCGCTTTCACTGCTCTCAGGTGCAGTAGTCACCTGTTTTCAGCATAAAAACCCACTATGCACTACCTGATTAGCACCAAATGGCAGACAGACACAGTTAGTGATTAGCTAGTGAATGTACGGTAGCATTTAGAAGCTAAAGACCCAGATAATTTAGTCAGGAGTTGGTAGAGACCAAAAGCATAGCTGAAAGAGAGCAAACACTGACCTAGCATTCAGCAAGTTCTTTTATAATAGTAATATTTTTGGATTATATGACTATTTTTACATGTATTTTATTACACATCCCTGTGTCCAATTAGCGCGCTACGACAGCTTTGAGGGTCTCCAAGCAGAGGAATGTGGCATCCTGAATGGATGTGAAAATGGCCGTTGTGTCCGTGTACAAGAGGGCTACACCTGTGACTGCTTCGATGGATATGAACTTGACCTAAACAAGATGGCCTGTATAGGTGGGTTCTTTCCCCAGCATCTCCGATATTTGTCTCAACAGGCCAACCACATGTGGAATCCATGTAAAAATGTTCAGGGGCTTCTGCAATCAATAGAGAATCAATCATTTCATTTAATCTTGTTTCAAAGCATGGGGTTGAATCTTGAAATAAAACCACTTTGAACTCTCCCTTCAGGTTTAAGCCAGTTGGAGTAATTTCAGTGAGGTTACTCTTCATACAGTATATCAAGCTCAAGGAGAAGCTTTGAATTTAATGACTTTGCTTTGACTTACATTTAATGGTAAACGCCTTAGGTACTCCCTAAAAACATTGTATCTTAACCTTTGGTCCAAAATTTCCTAGTTGCACACTGCCAAGCATAAGGAGGCCTTGAATTGTGAGATATTAAGCCATTTAAGTGTGCTTTGTTTTGAAGGAAAGTGAGACTGTCTTCTTGTAATAAAATACTATGATTACAATATTCTGTCTGTATACAAGCTTATCAGCTCCAAGGCCAGCCACTTTCCCAAGGAAAGAGATTGAATTTCGACACTGTGGAAACATGTGGGAGCTGTGCAACTCGTGCCACGTTTCCTTTAATAAATACCACCACGAGCATTTCACTAGCACAATATGCCATAAACAGGAGAAGGGTCATTTGAGATTGACTGCTGTGGAATGGCAGTCAGACCTCCCATGCTGAAAAAGGGGAAAGAAAATGACTTGAAGGCCAAAAGGAAACATAATCCAACACATTGTTAATTTTAGCATCATTCTGAACAGTTCAGCGCTCAAGATAAAGTTGATATCCTAACCAGCCAACACGCAACATGACAGTATGTTTGGGTAAAGATATACAAGATGACATATTATGTAACATATTGTTGTTGGTGAGTGAAACCTTATACCTCCAAATGTGAACTTTTGTGAAACCAATTAAAACGCCCTTGTTTGTTACTCATGAGATTGTATGAAATTTTCAACAATCTCATCTCAAGGTCTATTTCAGGGGTGGGCAATATTTTTCTACAGTGGGCCATATCAGAAATTTTCCAAAGCATCCTGGGCTAAACCCATGCAGTTAAAAAAAATGCCATGAGTGTTTTGTAATGGGAGATATTATGTTCTACATGTAGTTTCTGCTTACAAAAACATGCCAAGCAGAATCTGACTCAGTTTATTGCACCAAAAATGTGAGACACTAGGATTCCTATAAACCTGTTTTGCCAACATACTCATCAAGGAAATAAATTTTCTGAACAAAAAAAAAGAAGAAGAAGAGAATACATGTATAAAGGCATTTAGAGATATACTTACCCAACCACAGTAACTTAGTTACTGGACTTTATGTGTAGTTGGCATTTTAAAAGAGAGAATAATTGTATGGATGCTGACAAGCATCCATACAATTCAGCTATTTCATCAACATCAGCATACTTTCAGCTATTTTAGCTATCAAAATGTTCAACTCTTCAAGGACATTCATGCTTCTATTTAGAACTTTTCAAAACTTCATACTTTAATATTTAGTTTTATTTTGAAAATCTTGCTCCATTCAAATGAATGGGAAAATTCAACTTCAGCATAATTTAAGCTATCCAAATGTTCAGCTCTTCAAGGACATTCATGCTTCTCTTCAGAAGTTTTCTAAACTTCATACTTTTGAAATATTGAGCTTTATTTTGAAAATCTTGCCCCATTCAAATGAGTGGTAAAATTCTACTTCAGCATAATTTAAGCTATCCAAATGTTCAGCTCTTCAAGGACATTCATGCTTCTCTTCAGAAGTTTTCTAAACTTCATACGTTTGAAATATTGAGCTTTATTTTGAAAATCTTGCCCCATTCAAAAGAATGGGAACATTTTTACTTCTGCAAACTTTCAGCTATTTCAGCTATAAAAATGTTCGGATCTTCAAGGACATTCATGCTTGTTCTTCAAATGTTTTCTAAACCTCATACTTTTTAAATATTAGCTTTATTTTCAGAATCTTGCTCTATTCAAATGAGTGGGAAAATTCTACTTCAGCATAATTTCAGCTATCAAAATGTTCAGTTCTTCACGGACATTCATACTTTTCTTCAGAAGTTTCCTAAACTTCATACTTTTGAAATATTTAGCTTTATTTTGAAAATCTGGCTCCATTCAAATGAATGGGAAAATTCTACTTCAGCATACTTTCAGCTAGCAAAACGATTCAGATGTCAAAATGTTCAGCATTTTCAGGGTGATCTTTCAGCAGTCAGCATCCATACGCATTTTCTACACAAACTATGTTATACTATGTTATCCAGTTATTTATTATTCTGGTTTCTTCTGTACGTTTTTCGGCACTTAACTAGTTCAGCATACTTTAGGCTAGGAAAACCATTCAGGTATCAAAATGTTCACTCTTCAAGGACATTTATACTTCTATTCAGAATTTTTCTAAACTTCATACTTTTTAAACTATTCAGCTTTATTGTGAAAATTTTGCCCCATTCAAATGAATGGGGAAATTCAACTTCAGCATATTTCAGCTATCAAAATGTTCAGCTCTTCAAGGACATTCATGCTTCTCTTCAGAAGTTTTCAAAACTTCATACATTTTAAATATTTAGCTGAATATTTTAAAAAGTATAAAGGTTACAAAAAAGTTCTAGACATCCGCGCATGTCCTGAAAAACCTGAATGGCTTTTCTAGCTGAAAGTATGGTGAAGTAGTTAAGTGCCAAAAAAATTACGGAATAATAATAATAATAATAACTAAAAAATTACATTTTCTAAAGAAACTGTGTATGGATGCTGAGTGCTGAAAGATCGTCCTGAAAAATGCTGAATATTTTGACACCTAGCTGAAATTATGCTGAAGTTGGAATTTCCCATTCATTTGAATGGGGCAAGATTTTCAAAATAAAGCTAAATATTTAAAATGTATGAAGATTTGAAAACTTCTGAAGTGTAGTATGAATGTCCTTGAAGAGCTGAACATTTTAATAGCTGAAAGTATCCTAAACGTTTGCTGAAGTAGAATTTTCCCATTCATCTGAATGGGGCAAGATTTTCAAAATAAACCTAAATATTTAAAATGTATGAAGTTTAGAAAAATTCTGAAGAGAAGCATGAATGTCCTTGAAGAGCTGAACATTTTATAGCTAAAATAGCTGAAAGTATGAAGAAGTAAAAATTTTCCCATTCATTTGAATGGGGCAAGATTTTCAAAATAAAGCTAAATATTTAAAATGTATGAAGTTTTGAAAACTTTGAATAGTAGTATGAATGCCCTTGAAGAGCTGAACATTTTAATAGCTGAAAGTATGCTGAAGTATAATTTTCCCATTCATTTGAATGGGGCAAGATTTTCAAAATAAAGCTAAATATTTAAAATGTATGAAGTTTTGAAAACT